CTGTCTCTCCTGAATAAATAAATAAAATCTTTAAAAAAAAAAAAAAGAAACGATAACCAAAACAAAATAAGCAAGAGTAGCTATACTTTTATCAGAAAAAATAGACCTTAAAAATGATACAAGAAACAAAAGTCATTAAATAGTGACAAAGGGGTCAATCCATCAAGTAGATATAACAACTGTAAATACTTATGCACCCAACATCAGAGCACCTAAATATATAAAGCAAAAGCTAACAGAGCTAAAAGGAGAAATAAACATCAGTACAATAATAATTGGAGACTGTAATACCCACTCTCAATATGGACAGATAATTCAAAGAATCAATAAGGAAAACAGCAGATTTGAAAAACACAATAGAACAAATGGACCTAACAGACATATAAAGAAATTTCTGACAACAGCAAAATATACATTCTTCTCAAGCACACATGGAACATTTTCTAGGACATATGATATGTTGGGCCACAAGACAAGTCTTAGCAAATTCAAGAAGACTGAAGTCATACCAAGTATATTCTCTGATCACAATGGTATGAAACTAGAAATTAACAGAAAAAAAACCTGGAAAATTCACAAATATATGGAAATTATATAATGCTCTCTGAACAACCAATAATTCAAAGAAGAAATTACTTTTATTTTATTTTTATTTTTTTTAAGTAGGCTCCATGCCTAGTGTGGAGGCCAACATGGGGCTTGAACTCACAACCAAGATCAAGAACTGAGCTGAGATCAAGAGTCAGACGCTTAACCACCTGAGCCACCCAGGCACCCCCAAAGGAGAGATGAAAGCAGCTCGGGCTCTCTGCTCAGCGGGGAGCCTGCTTCTCCCTCCCTGACTCCCCCTGTTTGTGTTCCCTCTCTCGCTGTGTCTCTGTCAAATAAATAAATAAAACTTAAAAAAAAAAAAAAAGCACCTTGGAATAAAAAAGGAAACAAAACATACCAAAGCTTATAAGATGCAGCAAAAGCAGTTCTAAGAAGTAAGCTAATAGCAATAAACAGCTATATTAGAAACAAAGATCTCAAATAAACAACCTAACTCTGCCTCAAGGAACTAGAAAAAGAACAGACTGAGCCCAAAGTGAGCAGAAGGAAGGAACTAATAAAGATTAGAGCAGAAATAAATGAAACAGAGAACAGGAAAGCAAGAGAAAAAATGAACAAAACTGCAAGCTGGTTCTTTGAAAAGATAAACAAAACTGACAAACTTTTAGCTAGACTAACCAAGGAAAAAAGAGAGGAGACCCAATTCAACACAATTATAATGAAAAGAATATTACAACTGACACCACAGAAATACAAAGGATCATAAAAGCTATCATGAACCAGCAAACTGGACACCCTAGAAGAAATGGAAAAATTCTTAGAAACATAAAATTTACTAAGACTGAATTAGAAATAAAAAACCTGAAGAGCCCAATTACTGGTAAGACTGACTCATTATCAAAGATCTCAAAACAAAGAAAAGTCCAGGGCCAGATGGCTTCATTGGTGAATTTTACCAAATATTTAAAAGAATTAACAACAATCCTTCTCAAACTCTTCCCCAAAAAATTAAAGGGGAAGGAATGCTCTCAAATTCATTTTATGAGGCCAGCATCACCCTGCTACCAAAGCCAGAAAGGACACTACAAGAAAATGCAACTACAGGCCAATATCCCTAATGAATATAGATGCAAATACCAGCAAACCTAATTCAGCGGATCATTCACCATAAAAAAAAAAAAAATCATTCATCATGATCCAGTGGGATTTATACCTAGGATGGTTCAACATATACACATCAGTTAATGTGAAACATCACATTAATGGAATGAAAGAAAAAAATCATATGACCATCTCAAGGTCATATGAGGCAGAAAAAACATTTGACAAAATTTAACATCCATTCATGATAAAAACTCAACTAATTCAGTACAGAAGAAATGTATCTCAACTTACTAAAGGTCATAAATGACAAGCCCACAGCAAAAATCATCAATAGCAACAAGTTGAAAGCTTTTCTTCTAAGAGTAAGAACAGGACAAAGATGCCCACTCTCAACACTCCTATTGAACATAGTATTGAGCATCCTAGATTCCACCAAAAACTATTAGATCAAATCAGTCAGTAAAGTTAAAGGATACGAAATTAACATATAAAAATCAGTAGCATTTCAGGGTGCCAGGGTGGCTCAGTTGGTTAAGTATCTAACTCTTGATTTAAGCTCAGGTCATGATCTCAGGGTCACGAGATCGAGCCCCCCATGGGGCTTCACACTGGGTGTGGAGCCTGCTTAAGATTCTCTCTCTTCCTCTGCCCCTAACCCCCACTTTCATGCACACATACTCTCTCTAAAAAAAAAAAAAAAGTCAGTAGCATTTCTATACAGTAACAATGAATTATCTGAAAAAGAAATAAATAAAATGATCCTATTGACAATAGCATCAAAAACTTAAGTATTTATACCTAAATAGTTAAGCATAAATTTAACAAAGGAAGTAAAAGTTCTCTACACTGTAAACTACAAGACACTGATGAAAGAAATTCCAAGAAGATGGAATAAATGGAAAGGTATCCCATATTCATGGATTGGAAGAATATTCTTAAAATGTCCAAACTACCCAAAGCCACATACAGATTCAGTATAATCCATATCAAGATTCCAATGGCATTTTTTACAGAAGTAGGAAAAAAAAAAAAATTCTAAAATCCATATTTAACCATAAAGGACCCAGAATAGCAAAAGTAATCTTGACAAAGAACAAAGTGGGAAGCATAATACTTCCTGATATCTTTTAAGCTTACAATCATCAAAACAGTATGGCTGGCCTAAAAACAGATACATAGACCAAAGGAACAGAATCAAGAGCCCAGAAATAAAACCAAACATATATGGTCAATGAGCATTTCACAAAGGAGCTAAGAAGCCAAGAATACTTGATGAAGAAAAGATAGTCTCTTCAATAATGGTGCTAGGAAAATTGGACATTCACATGTCAAAGAGTGAAACCGAATGCCTATCTTACACAACTCACAAAAAATAACTTGAAATGAACTAAAGACTTATTAAATGTAAGACCCAAAACTGTAAAACTCCTAGAGGAAAACATAGGAAAAAAACTCCCTGACACGGGTCTTGGCAGTGATTTTTTTGGGTATGAAACTGAAAGTAAGTACAAGAAACAAAATTTTAAGAAGTGAGACCATATCAAAATAAAAACTTTCTGCACAGAAAAGAAACCATCAGCAAAAAATGAAAAGATAACCTGTGGAATGGGAAAAAATATTTGCAAACCAAATATCAGGTCAGGTGTTAATATCCAAAATACATAAAGAACTTACACCATTCAAAAGAAGACACACACACACACACAAATAACCCCTCCCCCAAATAATCCAATTAAAAAATGGGCAAAGGACCCAAAATAGACGTTTTTTCCCAAGAAGATATACATGACCAACAGGTACATGAAAAGGTGCTCAACGTCACTAATCATCAGGGAAGTGCAAAAGAAAACCACAATGAAATATCACCTCACACCTGTTAGAATGGCCATTATTAAGAAAACAAGAGATAACAAATGCTGGTGAGGAAGTGGAGAAAAGGAAACCCTTGTGCACGGTTGGTGGGATTATAAATCGGTACAGCCACTGTGGAAAACAGCATGGAGGGTCCTCAAAAAGTCAAAAATAGAGCTACCCTATGATCAGATTTGCAGTTACCAGAGGGCAGGGCTGGGATGAGAGAGAATTGGATGAATGTGGTCAAAAGGTAAAAATGTCCAATTATAAAATAAATCAGTACTAGGATGTAATGTACAGTATTAAGGCAATTAACACTGCTGTATGATAATTTGAAAGTTGTTACGAGAGTAAATACTAAGAGTTCTCATCACAAAGGAAAGACTTTTTTTTCATTCTCCTGTTTTCGTATCTGCACGAGATGATGGATGTTAACTAAACTTACTGTGGTGATCATTTCACAATACATATAAGTCAAATCATTATATTGTATACCTTAAGCTTACATGGTACTGTATATCAATTATATCTTAATAAAACTGGAAAAAGGAATGGCACAGAGTTATAAACATTATTAAATTTTATTAACAAAAACTTTGTACATTTTTTTAATACATGTGGAATTTTACATCTAGGTAAAATAACAACACATTCAAAATTTACCATTTATACAAATTGTTACAGAATAACAACCAGTGGGTTAAATAAGTAAAATAAACCACACCGATTTTTTTAATTATCTACAAAAGATTTGACTTCTTTAAAATTCCCCTGAACATATAAAAATAAATTAATTTTACTTTTCAATTAAATCTACCAATTAGAAATATTACAAATCAAAATATCAATGTTATCTTATGAATTTTTCACAATACAAAACAGATTCACAAAACCTTATTTACAGAAATGAGGTAAGAACTGTGCAATGTTTAACCAAGAAACATATTGCAGAATTAACATGTTCTTCCAGCTAAGTACACAGTGGAGGTCTAATTACAGCTGGGTCTTTTCCACTAATAATTCACGCATTTAAGAACAGTTCAATGATTACATCCCCAATTGTTCAATTTATACTCTGCTATACTGTCACACCAGGAGTGTGGCTACCCAAAGTGTAAGGACTGTAAATACAAATTTCACCTGTTCCAGGAACTGTAGTTGTTTTGTCTGAAATCACTGTCAGTAAATGCGAAGTTGTTTAAAAAAAAAAAAAAAATCTTACCAAATCCACTCCTTTTCCTTGTGACTCATTAGTGGATAAATACCCAGGTAATAGTTTTGCCTGAGCTATCTACAGTGGCATAGAAAGTTTTTAATAAAGGCAGAACCATGGGGAAGGCTGCTGGTGCAACAAGGACTATTCCTACTACGTACGTACAAGGACTGACGATAGTGCAAGCTCAGCTGTCTAGAGCCATTTCAACACAATGGAGGTACTAATAGGCACTTGATTCAGGCCAAACCCTACCAGCAGTTTCCAGAGCGGCCCCTCTTTCTGAAAGAAATCTTTCGCTTTGAATTGATCTGGTTCCCCCAGCAGCCTTAGAACTCACTTAACTCAAAATATGAGTAGTTACTTTAAAATATGAGTAGGTCTTAGCACTTTATTTAAAAAAAAAAGTATTTAGCAAAAGAATATTACCTTTAGCAGAAGCAGACATTACATCCTAACTTGATTACCAAAACTGGCCAAATCCCATTATAAAGAAATTTTTATAACAAAGATTGCCAAGTACCAGTTGATGACCTATTAATTTGCAATACTTAACCAATAAAACTCCAATAGACAATATTGGACAGTTCCTTAAAATCTGTCTTAAGATCTGACTCACAGAGCGAGCATACTATAACCCAAACAAAAGATTGTACTTCATATTCTAACTTGTACAACAAAATCAGTTTATAAATGGAACAAGTCTTTAGTTTTGCTGTTCGTCTCTCCAATTTATAACAAAATTAGTTGTGCACCAACTATATTAAATTCCTCTTAGGTTGATAAATTCATTGCTTGTAAATTATTTCATTGACAAAAGTTAGTTATTAAATTTTTTTTTCAAAGTTCAAAAAAATCTGGGTTGAGGGATAGGGGATATATGGGAATTCCATTTCAGTGCAACAAAGCAACAAGAAAATTAATCAAAGCCTTACAAGCAAGTCCTTGTGGCAATTAATCCTTTGTTGTGCAGTTCACTTCTTGTCGCATTTCTTCATGGGTGTAGGAGGGCTGCAACAGCAGCCAGATGAAGTGCTAGAGCAGCAGGTGAGGCAATCCAGAGGTTTCTCAAGTGTCAACTTTTCTCTTGAGTGACAGGCCCAGTTTTATCACTAAGTCTCTGCAGTTAAACAAAATCAAAGGCATTAGGTAAATGAATGCGTGGTCCACACTTGTGGTAATCGTCTCTTAAATTGGAATTATAACGGCGATAAAAGGTGGTATATATGGCGATTTCATTTTTTTCTACAAGTTGGCATGACTACTTTTCAGCACAATATAAAGACATGAGTTTACTGGTAAACATTATCAGTTGCTTTATATTAACTTCAGCAGTATATGAAGACAGAAGGGCCCATCTGAAAGGACAGAACTCATAGAGAATGGATGTAGAAATCATCCCCCAAATTGACTTGTCCACAGTAGGAATTACGTGGTATTGGGGAAAATGAATTTTTATGCACTAACAAAGTCATGGGTTCTGATCCCACATGTGCCATTTGTCCCTTAAGCTAAACTCTTTGAGTCTCCTTTTACTGATCTATAAAAAAAATTTTAAAGTCCCTCAAGACTGAAATCACATATACTATTGTTATCTAACAAAGATGCCTGGCACACAGTGGGGTACTCATAAATATTATTTCCCAGCCTTGTTTTTCTCCCATTAGGTACTTAATAGTGCTTACTTTTTTTCTTATTTATTATTGTAGTTTTCCATTAAAAAACACATTCCATACTGTATCACTCAGGAAAAGGTAGCTTGTAAAAATACCTCATTTTATTAAGCATCACTTTATTACATTTTCCCCCAAACTGAAGGATGGTGGCAATCTTGTGTCAAGCAAGTCTGTTGGTACTACTTTTCCAACAGCATTTGATCAATTCTTATCTTTATGTCACATGTTAGTCATTCTTGTAATATTTCAAACTCTTTCATTATTATATTTGTTACAGGGATCTATGATTAGTGATTACAACTCACTGAAAGCTCAGATGATGGTTAGCATTTTTTTAGCAATAAAAAGCATTTTTAAATTAAGGTATGTGCTTTGTTTCTTTAGACAATGCTATCGCACACTTGACAGATTACAGTATAATGTAAACATAATTTTTATATGCACTGGGAAACAAAAACATTCATCTGACTCACTTTTTACAATATTTACTTTATTGCAGTAGTGTGGACCTGAATCCGCACTATCTCCAAGGTATGCCTGTAGTTTGCATTTTAATGCAAGAAAAAATTTGAAAAAAGAAAAAACAGTATAAAAAAAATCCCTAAATTAATACAGACTCATGGAAATTTCCCACATCTGTAAAACATGGAGAGGTGACTAGGTTTATGATAGCGACAGGAGTATTCACAACCAGGAAGTTAGAGACAGTGGGGCAAACAAAGGCATTGAAGAGTTGATGAAAACCAATTAATCCTGCATTTTGAACCAACTCTTGTTACTCAATACAAACTAAAGTTTCTGAAGACTAACAGCACAGTAAACAGCAAGCTTTCAAGTGATGGGAAATAGCAAACATTGTGACTTTTCACACCGTGATTTGCCAAGTCTCCCACCTCATTCTTTCCCTTCTTCCTTTTCCTGACGTCCAGTCTCCATTCTATATCCCAATATCCTTCTCTGCCCTGAACTCGAATTTAGGGGAAACACTTATACTCCAGTAAAGTAGACCTAATTGAAGAGGAGAATTAATAGAAAGAAACAGCCTTAAAATGTGCGCTCCTATATGTACAGTACACTGTTCCTGCATCCATTTTTAATTTACCTTAACTGGTACACTGAAAAGGTAAGAGGCTATCGCTTAAATGAAATTAATAATTTAAATTCCATTACAAATACCATTATGATTTACTTTTCTTTTTAAAATTAATCTGGCAGAGTAACTGGAGTGCCCTAAAATTTATATATTAATTTTATTATAAATATGATTCAGTTTTACAAAGTACTTTAAAGCAAAGTAATAAAAATATTCCAAAATTATCTAGACTGGTTCTATAATTAAACAAATTAACTGAACAAAAGTTCATCAAAAAGTACCAACTATTATCTTTTGAATGGACTGTCCCATACCACTTACTATAACTAAAATACATTTTCATTTCCAATTTGGTGAATTATAAAACGTCCTTCAAACCATATGCACAAATTTAAACTAATGTACTTAGGAGATATATAAATTGGCTTGGGTCCTTCATGTTTACAATATCCAGCTGCTGAAACAACTGGTTTTAAGAAGAAATTATCAGGGGAATATATATATATATATATATATATACACATATTTTTTAAATAAGAGAGAAAAGCTAAAGAGACAGTCATCTCTGATTAATCAATAAAATTCTTTTTATTATTTCCCTAGATTAATAATAAAGCAAAGATACTTACCGTTACTTTCTGGCTTGCGTTATCGCCATGGATGGTGAGAAACGGGTTGGTGGTGGCTGGGTGAAGTGGCGGCGCCTGAGTACCTGCAAGTAGGTTGTTAATTGGGATCTGTGTTGGCCCGGGGATCTGGAGCTGCTGTAGTTCAGGTGGGTGGTGCTGCTGGTGGTGATGCTGTTGCATTAACTGATACAGAAGGGCCTGATGTTGTTCCTTTGGTAAAAACATGTGGGAGAAGATGAGTTCCCAGTCATAGAATTCAGCAGTCAGTAAAGCCTGACTTTTCTATTTTCTTCTTTACTTTAATATTAGATATTTAAATATAAGTCACATTTATACTACTAAGAAAGAAAACAAGTTATCTTATCTGGAAAAATATAGTGCACTAGATAATAACCATCTATTATAAAATGTCAATATCACTAGTGAATGGCTTATTTTCAAAACAGAGCAAACAAATATAGGAGACCTCTATTCAAATTGGGTTATCCATGATAATTAAGGGCAATGGCAACTTAGAAGTCACAAGTTATCTGAATCTGACTTTAGAATGTGGGCCATTCTCATTCCCAATTCTGGGAACATAAAAATAACTTTTAAAGTTCTCATTCATGCCAACAAAGAGTGCTTCGTTGGTGTAGTTATGAGACTATTCTTTGCAGCAAGTATGTATTTGATTTCTTGAGTGTTTACTATGTGCCAGGCACTGTTCTGAGACATATGAGTGGGGAAAAAAATCTCTGCCCTTCTGTGCTCAGCCTGAGGGGAAGACAGAGAGACCAACAAAAATGTTAGGATATGATTATTGGTAAGGATCAGGGTAAACAGCAATGTGTGGGTGACGGTATGGGGGGGGTGGAAATCTCAGATAGGTCAGGGTGGTTCTCACTCGAACAAAGACTTGGAGACAAGGAGGGAATTCGCTATATGGATATGGGGAAAGGGAGGAGATTTCTAGGAAGAAGAACAGCCAGTGCTAAGGGACTATGTGGGAGCATATCCAGTGTGATCAAGGAATAGCAAGGAGACCAGGGGCAGGCTGGGGACAAGTGAACAAGTAGGAGACAAGGGGAGAATGCGGGCCTCATGGTGGTGGGCCATGAACACTTTGGCTTTTACTCAAAGTAATACGGGAAACCAGGGGAAGGTTTTAAGCTGAGGAGTGACACAATCTTACTTGGGACTTCTGGATGGATTCAGTGTGAGGCGTGAGATGAGAGTGAAGAATGACTGCAAGGTTTTGGGCTTGAGCAACTATAAATTGGTGTTGCCTTTGGCAGAGGTAGGCAAAACTACGTGTGGAGCAGGTTTGTGACAGATTAGCAGTTCAGTTTTGGACATGTTATGCTTGAAATGTCTATTAAAATATCTAAGTGGAGATATCAAGAAAGCAGTTGGATACAGAAGTTTGAAACTCCAGAAACGGGCCTGGGCTGAAGATGTAACATCCGCACATATTTAAAGCTGGACTGGAGAATGATAATCGAAGCTCTATGACTGGAGGAGATCACTAAAATACTAGGTTACTCTGAAAGTGAGAGGTTGAGGGGAAGAGAGGAATGAATGGTTATGCAGGAAGAACACCACGGTAATGTGGGCTCCTGAAGGCTAAGGGAAGAAAGTGTTTCAAGGAGGAGGGAGTGATCAACTCCGTCAAATGCTTTTGCCAGATCAAGTAAGAAGAACAACAACTGTCTACTGGACTTAGCAGTATGAAGGCCATCTGGGAGAAGACAGCAAGCAGAAAAACAGGGTAGCAGTTGGTGGGGGGAGGAAGGTCAAGCAAGAGTTTTTCTTAAGATGGGAGAAGTCAGGATGACTTAGAAGAAAATGCGCTGCTTATAAACGAACAAAGTTCACCCCACAATCTTGGCTGACAAAGAAAAGACAGAATTTAAACAACTTCAGTTCTTGTGGTCTCTGAGCAACAATGTGTGCCAAAACCCCCTTAATGAACCATGTTCTAGAAATGAGTCATCTACATGTACTATTACTAATAATAATCTTGATTAAGAGGAAGGACCCCAAATAAACAGAATTTTAGTACTTCGTATTAAGATGAGAGATAAGAAAACAAGATCACATTTTAGTGTAAGCATTAAAGAATTTACATACAGTCTATCTTTATACCATTGTAAGAACAGTAACTGAAAACGATGATCCACAATCAAAATTAGTATTTTCAATATATTTTTGACTAAAGCAAAAAAATGGGCACATACATTTTATTTACTTATATATAAAAATTTTATTTTTTTAAAGATTATTTATTTTGGGGGGGGAGAGACCTACAGAGAGAGCACGAGCAGAGAGGAGGGGTGGGGGGGAGAAGCAGACTCCCCACTGAGCAGGGAGCCCAATGCGGGGCTCGATCCCAGCACTCTGGGATCTTGACCTGAGCCAAAGGCAGATGCTTAACCAACCGAGCCACCCAGGCGCCCTAAAGATTTTTTTAAGTAATTTCTACACCCAACGTGGGGCTCCGCCTCACAACCCCAAGATCAGGAGTCGCACACTCCACCAACTGAGCCAGCCAGGCACTCCGGGTAAATACTTAGAAAGAAATTACAAACAAAGGCTGAAACTCTGAGCTAATTAAATAGTGCATTTTCCAAGCAGTCTAACTCAACGAAGTACGCTAGGGAAATGGAGCTGGAGAGAGTTGCACAAATACATCAACCCATCTGGCTTTAAGTTTATGACTGCACAAAGCCAGCCAGAATGTCTCTGCATGTGAGCCACACACTTCCAATCTTTTTTTTTTTTTTTAAGATTTTATTTTTAGGTAAATCTCTACACCCCACATGGGGCTCGAACTTACAACCCCAAGAGTCGCACGCTCTACTAAATGAGCCAGCCAGGTTAGTCAATTCTTCCTCTCTTCTCCAAGATACCTAATTCCACAATTTTTTCTCTCATCTGACCACCAATATTCTTAGCTCCCTCAGCTGATGCCTTTCTTTTTTTTTAAAGATTTTGTTTATTTATTTGAGAAAGAGAGAGAGCACAAGCAGGGGGAGGGACAAAGGGAGAGGGGGAAGCAGACGCCCGACTGAGCAGATAGCCCGATCGAAGTGGGACTCAATCCCAGGACCCTGAGATCACGAACTGAGCTGAAGGCAGATGCTTAACCAATGGAGCCACCCAGGCGTCCCTGATGCCCTTAATTCTAATTTTAAAAATTGAAAACATTGAAAGTGGGTTTCCTCAAACTCCTGTCATAAAAACCCTCTGACAGCTGCTCTGCCTGCCCTCTTCATACAGTGGGATGCTGCTCGCCACTCCCCTCCCTCTCCGTCCCTCTGAAGAACTTTGCTGCTGTTACCCTTCCTCTCTCCTGCTCCCACCAACATATACATATGCTGTCATATTCAAAGTGAATAGAAACTTCCCCCTTAGACCATGTCTTTTTCCATTAGCTGCTCATTTCTCTGCTTTTTTAGAATGAAGTGTCTGGAGCTACCACTACTCCATCTTCACTTCCCCTCCTGCCATTTTCTTTGGAACCATTCGAGGAGGTTTTTACTTCTCACCACAATTGTCAAAACCTCCAGACAGCCAAATTCAATGGTCAATTTACTTGTCCTCCCAGAAGCATTTTTATACAGCCGAGTCCTTCCTTTGTTGATACATTTGCTTCACATGGAGCCAAGGATATCACTCTCAGTTCCTCTCTTAACTCACTGGTCACTTTTTTCCCACATCCTCTACTAGGATTGTGTTCCTCTTCCAGTATATCCAGGGCTCAGTCCTCAGACATCAGTCCTCATTCCCTACTGATCTCATAAAATCTTGTAAATCTAAGTATCATACATGCAGCGATGACCCCAAATGTATATTTCAACTGAATCCTTTTCCGGGACTCCAGACTCACACAACTGTCTGGTCTACATCTCACTTGAACATCTAAATAGACATCTCCACCTTAGTACGTCTGTAACAGAACTGCTTTCTCTCCAAACCCGGCTGTTCCTCCAGGTCCTCCAAATCTCAGTAAAACTCAACATCCCATTGTTTAAAACAGGACTCTTCTTTACCTTCAACGTCTGACAAACAAGTCTTGTTGGTTTTATCTTCAAAATACACAATCCCAGATGGTTTTCCCCCACATTGATCCTGTTATTTAAGATACCACATCTTCTACCTGGACTACTCCAATAGCCTCCCTGTTTCTCCTTTTGCTACCATCTCCCCTCCCAACACATACAATTTCCCATACAACAGCTAAGTTAATCTTTAAAAAATGTGAATTGTTATCATGTCACTATTCTGCTCAAATCTTCCAACTAATTATTTAAAATAACCCTGAAAAAAAAAGTGAGGATATATGAAACAAGATTTTTAAAGTTGAGGTAATTATTAAAACTAGTACACTATATACTATTTTGATACATTTGAAAGTTTCCACGATAGAAAACTTAAAAAAAAAATCACTAATGGCTTTTCATCATATGCAAAATCTAAATTTCCTGCCACAGACAGCCAAACAAGGCCCACCCGTGACTTTCTCTCCCCTGCACCAGCCTCTCCCTTATTCTGCAGTCATGCCGGCCTTCTTTCCAGTACTCAAAACAAACACATGCGGTCTTGTTCAATGCTGCTCTTCCATTCATTCCCCCGTGTCAAAAATGCACGTTCCTTCAACTTTTATTCAGGTCTGTGTTCAAAAGTCACCTACTCAAAGAGGCAAGACTCTGCTATCTAAAATGAGGCCCCTGTCCCACTGTTCCTCTATCCCTTTATCCTCCCCCTCATTTTTCTTTTCAGTGCCGATCACTACACCCACACATTTGTTTATTGTCCACCTCCACTGTCGGAATGAAAATACAAAGTCTTGTTCAGCACCACATTACCAGAGTCTACAAGAGCCTCACAGTGTGTGTTCTAAAATTTGTAAATGAATCAATATAATGTCACTATAAGTATCACAGACTATACTAAATGGCAAGACAAACTATTTTGGGGGCTATGCATCCGATAATGCTATTTCACAAAATGGGTAAGTCTGTACCCATGCTGAATGCCTATTACAGCCTAGAACACTTGCTCCTAATAAAAATCAAATATTATCAAAAGGAAGAACTTACTGGCGTGAGCTGTTGAGAATTTAACAACTGCTGAAATTGTTGTTGGTGAAGAAATATTTGTCTTTGCTGGTCAGAAAGTAATCCTAGTCCTGAGGCACTGAAAAACGATTAAAATTCTTACTTTCTAGTATATATCTTTAATGTTTCTTAAAATGTAAAATGAAAAACAACTTTTCAATTTGGTGTTTAATGAGTTAACAAGTCAAATCTTTAAATATAATACTTTCTGATAACAATCACGTACAAATTTCTTTTTTCTCTCTCGTGTATATACAGGTAAATAAGAATTCACATTGTCAAGAAATGTTTTGTTTTCCTTTTTATTATAAACCAAGAAGGCACTCAGTACTTTATGGAATAGAAATTTAAATGTGTTTATAACACGCACGTAATAATTTTTAATTATTCGAGGATAATTTAACCCACACTAAATAGCATATATGTAAAACAAGGAAAAATCCCATCTACTAATTGACTTTACCTAACCTTTTTTAATGGTCCCAATGGAGAGTAAAATTAAACACCAAAGAAAAGGGAGCCAGAAAAATAGTTTACTAGTATCCACTGCAAATCCATTTAAAACGATTTATTCCTCAAATGTATGTTCAGTAACAACATGGCTTTAGTCCCCTTATTTTGAACAAACAGTCAAATGAAACTCCAGTACCATGAAACAGTTTCACTCACAGGAAATTCAAGATAATTTGATCTAGGCCTTCATCCTATATCAAAATTTTTAATTATAAAACTAGCAAAATTGCATAGCTGAATTTTAAGAAATCAATATTCATTCATATGCGATCATCATTACAATATTTTCTTCAAAATTTATGATACAAGAAGGCAATATACAAGGGGAGATAACACAGATCAAGAATGAAATTTTAAGCACAGAACATATTTAATGCTTTATTACTAAAAGTGATTTAATTTTGTTTTAATCTGAATTACTTAAATTTCAAAAATAAATGGCTCTCAGAATAATACACTTAATCTAGAAGTTTGCTAGATTTTCATTTCTTGTTGATTACATCTACAAGAAGCCCATTAAAAACCCCAATTTGAAAGCATGGACAATGCTGGTACTATATGTTGCACTAAAGAACCCAAAATCTATTACGTGCGTTTCTTACCTGTTAGTCAGTGTAGCTGGCATTGGATGTGTTGCATTAGGTGGTACAGTTGTGTGGGTGAGGGGGGTAGGGTTCTGGGATATTGTGACAGGGGTCTGAATAACCCCATTTAAAGCTCCTACAATGCCATTAATTGCCAGTTGGTTACCTGGCAAAGCTCCAATTATTCCACCCACTCCAGGCACTGTAGGAATGGTGGATGTTACAGTCTGCATTCCACTAGCCAGGGCCCCCACTGTCACACCATTGACCTGCTGAACTCCACTAACGCCGGAGCCAGGCTGAGCTGGACTCTGCCCAGCAGGAGGTGGGGTAGAAAGAGCAGAAGAGCTGCTGGTGCTTTGTCCACTGGAGGTTAAGTCCTAATGTAAGAAAGAATAGGAACTTAAGTAAGAAAGAACACAGCAAAACTGTTTAAAATCATCTTAAACCTTTTAATGTGATATACTATTGTTCGTAAGAAAAACATAGAAATGAAACTAACCACACCAAAATTACCTGATTTAATACAGGAAGAGAATTATCAGGTAAAAAGCTGTTTCCTAGATGAGGGCTCTTACTGCTGTTCAAGGAATCAGTCGTAGGAGCTAGAATAATAAAAGACAAAAAGAAGCCTATTTACCCTGTTAAATGACATTATGTGTAAGATTAAAGGCTTATCTAAAAGCTTATCCTGAAGCCCACATTAAAAACACTTAAATATTAAGTCTTGCTATGCCTAATACCAGTTTAAAGGGAAAAATCTATAACTCTATTGAATACTATGGCTTTAAATCAATAAAGAGATCATTACGCATTTAAATAACTATTATAGTTAAATTACGTACTAAAGAAGTTAGAGCAAATTCAAGTTGATCACTTAACAGATTCTTCATGTTCTTTGAAAATAACCTATCATTCCTTTTCTACTTCTTCATATAACTGGTAACCAGTTATTATTCACTTATTATGAAAAAGATACTGAAAGTCGATCCTACTTTCCTTAAATATGCAATAAGTATTTTCACACTTACCGTTCTGTGCTGAAAATGCATGCATTTGATGAGATGGACTAGGATTTGTTGTTATTGTTGGAAAAGGCACTGAGAGCTGTGCATTCAATAACTGAAGACGTTCCTTTTTGGCTGTCAAGTTTTTAATCTGCTCTTCCAATCTCCGATTTTCAACTTGAAGTTGGTGTAATGACTTTAGCATTCCTAAAACTAGCAAACATTTGGATGGTTTTAATAAAGACAAGTTCCCACACAGGACTAAGTATTTTACAGACCGAAGTGTCAATAACTTTAAAAATAAGTTAAAATAGGAAAGTAGAAATTCTGTAAAGCATCCTCAAATTACCAGGTTTTATTTCTTTTTTTTTTTTTAAAGATTTTATTTATTTATTCATGAGAGACAGACAGAGAGAGAGAGAGAGAAGCAGAGGGAGAAGCAGGCTCCCAAGGAGCAGGGAGCCTGATGCGGGACTCGATCCCAGGACCCTGGGATCATGACCTGAGCCGAAGGCAGACGCTTAACCGTCTGAGCCACCCAGGCGCCCACCAGGTTTTATTTCTAAATTTATACATAGATATAAATAGACCACAATATATTATGTGTATATATAAGCATAAAGGGATACTGTTCCTAGATGTACCTTCTGGGAACTTTGTTACCACCTATCAAAAAAACCCACCCATCTGGTCTAGGTAGTTTCCATTCTCAAAGAAAAATGATGACATCTTATTTTCACCAAAATAAAAACCTAATTAAAAATTCAAAGTGCCTGCCATAATTTTTCATTAAAATCATATTTAAAATGGGAAAGAATCACCAGTAGCCTTCACCACAATAAAGAGCACAAGTTTCTGTGTGCTGCTTGGCTAAGCTAAGCATGTCACCAGACCCGGGGTGAGAAGCCTCCCAGCCCCAGCGCTCGGCATGCTGATCCACACATCCGCCAGCAGGGAGCAGTGTGCACGCACCACAACCCCCACTCCCAGCTCCCAGAGAAAAGCCGATCGTCTGCGAGCAGGCGGTTTCTGTCCTGCCTCCATCACCTCAAATACAGTTTCAGTTCCTTCCACAACTCAGAACTCTCAACTGACAACACTGAGTAGTTATGCCAGGGTGACGGACACTTTAGAAGTTCTACGTACACAGAGTAAAAAGCTGTATTTGTTTAACATGCCCTCAGGGCCTTTAAAAGACACAAGTGTAGTGGTACAGACATATATGGTCATTTCCCAAGGATTTAACTTTTATCCCTCCTCTTCAAGATGCTAAAAAGAAACCCTCAGTGTACCCAAATGAGATGCAATAAGACTAAGCTAAACCTGTCCTCCAGCTATCATGTTTAAAGGATTATCCTGGCATGAATTTCCTCACAATTAGCATTTTTCCGTCAAGGCACCATTCATAAAACAAAACAAAACAACACACACAAAACAATGAAAATATCAATTTACGGCACTTGTCTACTAACAATAAGCAAAATGTTTTGTTTTGATACAATAAAGCAGTAAAAGCCTATATCCCAAAACAATAAAAACTATCTATTTTTTCCCTAAAAATGTATATCCTTAACATGAGGCCACTTCCCCAGCTAACTGCCACTTATAGTAACTTTGCTTTTTTAGCATTTTTCACCCAGGATCCTCCCTAATACTTAACATTGAAAAATACTAAATATGTATATAAAATACATATATTACATAATTTAATAAATAATACAAAATATATATAAATTTAGTAATTCTTATTTTCTCATCCAAATTATAAAATTAAGAAGACGGCTGAATGTATTTGACTATAAGCATTTTTATTTTTACTTTTTTCAAAATTATTTCTACGGGGAGAGAAGGAGAAGGAGAGGGAGAGAATCTCAAGCAGACTCCCCAGTGAGCGAGAAGCCTGACGTGGGGCTCGATCTCACGACCCTGAGATCATGACCTGAGCTGAAACCAAGAGTTGGACACTCAATGGACTGAGCCACCCAGGCTCCCCTGACTAAATGCATTTTTTTAAAATGAATTCTCCAGAGGTAAGCCACGTTTTCTTCAAACAATTAAGCTAAGATATAACTCATGTATTTTAGTAAAATTTAAAAATTGATAAGAACAAAGTACCAATATTAAAATAATTCAAAACAGTAACAATAACCACTGAACAGATCAGTGTTTACTATGAGCTAGGCAATGTTCTTCACAGTTTTTATGCCATTTAATACTCAAAACAACACTACGATACAGGTACATTATTATTCCCAGTCTACAAATGGGAGCTAATGCACACATTAAGAAACTTGCCCAAGATCCTATCATTAATAACAGGTAAAGGTAAGATTCAAATCCAGTGGTAAAACTGTAGAATCTGTTCTATTGAACCATTACACTACATTTTCTTGCCGTATTTTACAAAACATATTTCGTAATTTCACTGCTACTGATAAAGTGTGACTGCCACATCTATCCATCTGTCTGTCCGTCCATCTTTTAAAGACATGAAAAGAATACTTACTGTCACTAGGAGTACCCTGTTCTAATAAAAACTGCTGTCCTTCACTCCACTGTCTCTCCAAAAGCTGTTCTATGCTGGCTGCTACTGGAGGCAGATTTTCCAAACTGTTGTTGACCGGTTGATCATAGCGAATTTGTAAACTGCTTACAGGAGATCTGTTGAAAATATTAATTTTCAGGTTAAACAGAAAGAGAGTGCATTCACATTTCTTACCTTATGCTGACGCTTTCCCTGTAAGTCTTCTAACTCCAGGCTGCCTATGCTGGAAGAATGATAAAACCATAATCCACCCTAAAACTGAGTAATTACCATTCTTCCTCCCCAAATTATAAAATCAGGGGAATAGCTGGCTATACTCAGTAATTAAAAACCACTAGAAAATATAAACACCCCCCCAATAATCTCTGAAATAGGCTGTAAAAGAACTGATACAGCTTTAGACAAAAGAGGGAAAGATAGTATTAGAAAACTTTAAAATAATTAGCCAGAAGAGAAGAGTTCACCATTCTGCTTTAATATATAAAATATCAGAGTAACATTGTACAATTATAATAATGTAGAAAACATTTTAATTTACAACCAACAGAATCTCAAATACCAGTAAAAAGAAATTTTTAATAATTTTGAAGGAGCCTTTTGTTATAAAGTAAAAAATACGGATTTTCTAGTATTTACAGGATTAAGGAGCATTAGCAAGACCACAGTAATTTTTATTTGAACCCTTTATACAAATTTTTCTAAAATGCCTTGGATCTGTACTTCAAGTGGTACTAACTTAATCAAAAGTCTTCCAAAACAAATATTACTTATATTAAGATGAACATGTAATGTTCTCTCATCCATTTTTTGTTTTAAATTAGTAAAGGTGGTCACTTCTGCTCTCCAGCCTCCACATTAACATAATACATTAGTAAAGGGCTTTAGCCTTTCCAAAGTGTTTCCACATAATTATCTCATATGATCTTTGTAACAACCTACTGAGAAGTCAAAACCTGGCTTATTGGTTCGATTTCTATATGAGGAAACACCATGCAGTTTTAGTGACCTGGGCAAAGACACGCTGCTGGTAAAGGGCAGAGCTGGGCGCAGCTCGGGTCTTCTAACAATCCACTAGTGTTCTGCCACTGCCTCAGTGTGCTTCTTTACCAAATCTCTTTCAACAAGTTAAACAAGTGAGTTTTTTTTATTCTACACGTGAACATCACGTGCTCCATACAGTTGACCATCCTCTCCAAATAGTACATTATGCCAGGATAATTTAGGTTATTACATTTCAGGCTGTTTTTAAAGGGTAATATAAAGTTGGAAATATATGCTATAAATAATTCGGTAAAATTTTTTGTTTTAAATGTTTTATCCACTTAGCTAATGAAAAACTAAGAACTATGCTAAGCAAAATAGCACTGAGGGATCTTGCAAAATTTCTGGGTAGCTTCTAGGATATTTTAAGTTTAAGAATGGAACACAGAAATGCTTCCTCCACTAAACATATGAGCAAAAGCCCATTAGTTTTCTTCTTCGAAAAGTGGAATAAAATAGTACAGAAATAATCACAGCATAAAATTATAGATTAGGTCAGTTGATGTTATCAGTGTGTGCTTCAGATTCCTAGTTGAAAAAGAAGGAATATTTCATTTCCTCCAGAGTTCAATTAGGAAAAATACTACTACTTTTAGGTCACCCAGGAATTTTATAGGAAAAGACACTACTGGATGTACCACTAGAAAATAGCAAAATTAGAGATTACTGATGTTCCTTAAGACATTACCAATATATCAGCAATATAACAACAGATATTCATGGTATCCTCGCATAAAAATCTTTATTTTTAATAGAATTTTTAAGTTCCCATAGCTGAAAAATGTTCATTTCCCACAGTTGAAAAAAGACTCCAGAATGGGCTTTTACCTACTTCTGTTCTCCATTCTCACCCAGTCTAACCATGCTTGAGGCAGAGTTTACAAAATTAGAAAGCAGAGAGAAAACAAACTGAAAGAAGATATAGAAATTGAAAGTAGAATACAATTAATAAAAAGAGAGCCACAGCCTAAAGTTCCATCGTTTTCTATAAATTGATACAATATTCCCCTCTGCCATACTCCCCCACTGAGAACAGAAGATGTGGGGCACTTAGACTGTGCTCAGAGAAATTCAACCTCTGCTAACAGGAATAACCTTATATACATTATGCAAGGTACCTAGATTCTACCATATAGTATCTACGACCATTTCAAAGAACAATGTAATAATTTGTTATACTTAGATTCAATTTTAGGAACTAGAGGGATTTTTTTTTTTCCAAAGGTTTATTTTTTTTCTTAGTAATCTCTACACCTAATGTGGCACTCCAATTTACGACCCCAAGATCAAGAGTTGAATGCTCTTCTGACTGAGCCAACCAGGTGCCTCAAGAACTAGAGGGATTTTAGAAATGAGCCCCAAGAACTAGGAACTAGAGATGAAAGGGTTAAGTGCATTGCCCACAACAGAGCTAAAACTGGAACCCAAAGTTGAAAGCCTTGAGTCTTGTTGCTTTAAGAGGTTTAAAGACTATTTCATGACCCAAAAGAATGAGCCAAATTAATGTACTTAATAGTACCAGCAGCTAAATATACAAATGATAAAAACAAGAGAGTTGAAACTGACTGGAAATCTAAGAAAAGGGATGTCTTCTTAAAAGCTTAGAAATCTAACCATGTGTTTAATATTCAAATTAATTTAGAATCATTTTTCTTGACAGTCCAGACATGCTTCTTATCTACAGAATGCTTTTACAGCCTCACAAATGTACGCTCTAATAGGAGATAAAGAAGTTTCCAAATCTCAAAATGTTTCCTTTGCCGACACTCTGCAGAGTAAATAATGCTTACCGTGGTGAGAGACTTCCTCGGGGTGAGCTTCCTCTGCCAACAAGGCTGCGGCTATTGTCTCCAAGATCTTGATCTGCAGTGTAAATATTTCATAGCTGATAAAGTGACTCTCACTAGATAAGAGGTTTTAAGCTCTTGCCCTGATTTTTCCTAAAACATACATAAAACCTTTACCACTATCTTTGCAGTTACTACGAAAGTAGAAGATCTAGTATGTTGCTAGTTCGGAACTGCTGAACTGTGGCATGTAAGGCGTTGTCCCTACACGTTTTTGTGGGTGTAGAAGGCCATGGATTATGTTCCGTTCTTTCATTCCTTTCAATTTTACAGCACAGAAGCGTGGTTTGCATTTGCAGTACCCTCCCCTCAGCCACTTTTAATTTCTACGGTTAAAGTAATGAATCACAGCTGTGGACAGCTAATCTGTATGCTTATCACAGCAAATCCTTATGCTTTGTATTTTTTAACACTTTGCATCCCAAGACAAGTCACAAAATGCATAATGTATTACACAGCCACACACCATAACTAAAATTATATATATTACATGGATCCTCACAGCAAGAATAAAATTAAACATTAAAAATTTAAGTTGACGAAAACAAGTAGGAATATTCTGTACTTAGAAAGGAAAAAATTAATTTCTTCAAAATAATTCTTAGGTAACACCGAGTATCTCTGCTTGAAAAGTAACTTGTATTTCTCCTACAGTCAGTTCCTTCTAAAATCACCCTATCTGGCCTCTTTCAAGATTGTCCTCCCCTTATTCTGAGTCAGGTAACCTCTGACCCTTAAAGGGTAAAGACATGACTGATCCATTCTTGGTGAACTGCTAAACCCATTCCCTTCCCCCAAACAGGCATGACTACTTGGACATGTCAACAAATCCTTAAGGATGGAATGAAACAAAGCAAATCCAGTGGCTCATTAAAACAGTACAAGAGGCAAATGCTACAAAATGTCAACTGGTAAAAATTCACAGGATTACTAAACACTGTAGAAATTCTCTAACAGGATTTTTTTTAACCAAGTTTGTGTAATGCAATTCCATGAATTATGCAAATAAAGGTTTAGGCTATTCACAGAAAAGCCCAGTGTTATGTTACTTTCATTGCACAGAACTGAGAACTGAACACATCAATCACAAAAGTCACAGGAGACATTGTTGCATTCCTGCCTGCTGATGGCTCTGCTTAAACATTTACATTTCAGACAGTAAAAAAAGCACATCACTATTTTGCAGCACAGCGCACTATTTACTTCCAACTGTGACTCTTTTGGTTAAGGTGGGGGGGTTGCAGCATAATCCTATATTAACCACACCTTTAGACTTTTCAAATAAAATGAGCCAATGGTGGGGGTGGGGGAATTACATTGGGGGAGAATTTAAAAATTCTTGAAAACTTACCTGTTTGATTGTTTTCAGACTGAACTATAAGAGCTGCCATTGATGAACTTGGATTTAATCTACTGCCATACATATGAGATGGTGCCTGACTAAGAGAAGATCCAGATAGGGTATTTGCCTAAATGAAAAGAATTACAAAGATAAATGAATTATACTTGAAAATATCTTCATGTTTTTCCTCCTAATAGACCTAGCAACTATTTTTTCCAACCTAAAAATATAAGCAAACATTCCTGACTTTCTGAAGAGCAAATTTCATTCTTACTTGTTTTACCATTCCAACATTTCAATTTTTGAAAAGTCACATAATTCCAAATTAAAAAAAAAATAAAGACTGGCACAAGGTTATTCTTGCTTTAATTTCAGAATATCTAGTCACTAACAAAAACCCAATGGCATGGTAACCATGTGAACATATGACTAATTATTTAATCTTATTAAACCATTTACAAAATAAGGGCAGGTAGACAACAGATGTCTAACAAATGCTTCAGTCTCTTACATCACAGGCTGGCGAAGGAGGTCAAAAGGTCCAATTTCTACTTTTACTATTTTAACTATACAGAGCTATATTTCCATTGCTTAACTCTGTCATTAGTAAAACCTGCACACTATTCTGTTACTTCCTATTTTGATAGACTTGGAAGCCTGCTGCTTTTTCTGTTTTGTTTTGTTTTTATTTTAAAAGAAAGCAAACAGGCATCACAAGTATGTTTTCTATACAATGCAGAGCTCAACGAATCACAGCTTTGCCCTGACCCCATATAAGGCACTGTCTTTTTGGCAGGAAGCCAGTTCCACTAACTGGAGAGCTGGTCCAAAGTTTGTAATTCATTCATGTTGCTAACCACAATTCTGAAGGCCTCTACTGGGACTTGTGCCAAACAAGCGAAAATGAACCCTTAAACAGATGAAGCTAAGGAGGCTGGCCAAAGTCTTGCGTAATCCAATGTAATAAAAATGCCTTCTTTGATGTGAATACTTTCTCCCACTTTCTAAGAATATTATAACCTTAAAATGTGGCATTTTGAGAGCAAATCTCTTATACACAAAATACTGTTACTCAAACAAGGCTATTACTAGCCTGAAATACTTTTCAGATTTAACAGAACCACAAATCTTTAAAGTAGACTTCATATTCTTTTTCATGAGTGAAATCAACTTAAGCTTTATAAAAATGAAATCACTGTACAGTTATATCAGAACAGAATTCTGGAAAATAATTTCAAAGGATTGAAGCACTTCTAATATAAAGAAACTGAGTAACAGCAAAAACAAAAGATGGGGGACACACCAACATGTACAACTGCACACAAGAGACCCAAGACAACACAGTGGTTATAATGAGCAAAATATTACAGAAAATAAACTGTGTTTCTGGAAAGACTCAGACCCTGACATTATATATGGCCTCTAGCCAACTTACTGGGCATGAAAATTGGACTTTACAATTCACAGAAATACTCTGTGATGTAGAATCCTGTCCTTGTTTTTCCGTTGTTTCAAAGGGTATATTTTCTAGCTCATTCTTTCATGTCTAAGTTTAACTGGTCAATTTTTGGTTTCATTCTTCCTCTTCTTAAAGATGTGTACAGAAAGTAAGTTTGTACTATTTGGGGCGCCTGGGTGGCTCAGTTGGTTAAGCAACTGCCTTCAGCTCAGTAGAGTCCCAGGATCAAGTCCCACATCGGGCTCCCTGCTCAGCAGGGAGTCTGCTTCTCCCTCTGACCCTCCCCCTTCTCGTGCTCTCTCTCTCTCATTCTCTAACAAATAAATAAAATCTTTAAAAAAAAAAAGTAAGCTTGTACTATAAAGTCTTGTTTAACAATCCATTAGCCCTCAGTAAAAGGTAAGGCATAATTTTAACCTCAAGATCATACTAGATACCATGTATTTAGTAGTACAGCATACTAAAATACACAATTCATAAATAGAAATATACTTAAGATTTTTTTACATCTCCAGAAGTCAACTACCTGGAAATCTTGGCTACTCGCAAAATAACTTAAGGTAAGAAAAATTACCAAACAGACAAACAGAAAGACCAGATGTTACCAGTCCCATGTGTAAACATCTCAGATACCATACACTTAAAAATACCCTTTGCAGAACCAATTTGCTCTTACTCTAGATATAATTCTAAAAAGATCAGCTAATCATATAAAAGATTAGAAGTAGAAAATTAATTAGAGGAATAAAAGTCAGTTCTTGAGACATTTGTTGCAGCAGAAATCAACAGCTAACAGTATTAAGAAGAAAGAGAAAAATATGAGCAAGAATGAAAGCATGTTCCAGAGTGCTGCTGCGGTGGTGCTCAAAGAACATGGACATCTAAATGCCTTAGCATCTGTATCTCAGCCTTCTGACTCTCCTTTTTCATGCAGTCATCTATAATGGTTGAAACATAACTAATATTATACCAGTTGGACCACTTTTTTAGTTCCAATTATCAGTTTTATGAGCTGTCTTAGTCTCTTGATAAGAATCAAAAGATGCTACTCCTCAGAAAAACACTTTTTCAGGAAGGGCTCTTTCTGCAAGGGCTTTATATTTATCCTTATTAGCTTCACATTTTTTGATGTAGTCTTCAAATTATCTTAGTTATTCTATCACACATTAGCCCACCATACTAAAAGATCAAAATGCAAAGCAGTACTGCATAATAACTGATTTGCATAATGACTATCATCAAGAAGAAGCTAAATCATCTTTAGCATAATTCCAAAAAAGGAAAGTATTTATTTTACAAAGGTGCCAGGCAAAAGTAAAATTAGTAATAAAATAAAAACCTAAAATGGGAATATATTCTTCATTATCCTAAATGACCAATTTCCCAAATTCCCTGAATGAGTAAAAATTATCTGGTAGTTTGTTTTTAAAAAATTATTGCATTTATTGAAACCAGAAACTTTGGAAAGAGATGAAAAGTTATTAATTTTATCAGGTAGCATTTTGTGGTGTATTAAAACATCTAAACCACTCTACATTAAAACTCAAGTCATTAATACATTTTAAGTGGTAATATGAGTCAATAAAGAGTCCACAAATGTCTGACACTGCTTAGCCAATACTTCTGAAATGATGTTTAGAATGGTTAATGTTGGGAACCCATGATAACTCTGTTACCACCTCAGGGCCAAGAACCCCCCACCAGTTTAGTGAAAAGATTTACAACTACTCAGTAGCAATGAAGAAGGGTAAATGAGAATGGCGTTGGGGGGGGTGACTCACTGAGGAAAGCATACACATAATTTCAGACATTTTATAGACTCAAAACTTTCTGTGAACTCTACTACTTTTGCAACTTTTCTATATACATCTATAATTAATTTAAAATAAGAAGTTAAAAGAAAAAATGATTATAGGGGCATCTGGGCAGCTCAGTTGGTCAACCTTCTGACTTTGGCTCAGGTCATGATCTCAGGGTCCTGGGATCGAGCCCTGCGTCAGGCTCCTCCCTCAGCGGGGAGTCTGCTTGTCCCTCTGCCTCTCCCTGCTGTACTCTGTCTCTCAAATAAAAATAAAATCTTTAAAAAAAAATGATTATAAAACAAACTGGTTACTTGACTTCATGGTGTCCCATTGAAATCATATCATCTACTCAACATGTGAAAACAGGTGTTAGGTTAGATCAAGATAAAAATATTTAATAAATATTGTAAGTTCATATTGCCATAATAAACTTCTAATATATATCTTAAGACTTTTTTTTCCCTTCTCTAGATTAATAATTGAAAGGAACCACTTCCACTCAAGATGTTATATGACACTTATTCTAATACTTTAGTAAACGCCTAAGAGAAGTATTAATTATTTTACAAGATGGACCCAAAGGCAAGTAGAGTAAGAATAAATTGAATAATTATTCAATTATTGAGGTAAATTTAAGCCACTTTGAAAAAAAAATGTGTTTAGGTGCCTGAGTCCAACAACCCTAAGCAAATTTAGAATAAGTTATTATGCTAAAACATCTAGAAAGATATGCAGGTCTCTACCATGGCAGTATTCAAATTCAAGCAAATCAAGGAAATTTAGTGTTTCCTAAGTAGATTCACAGACCATATAAAAATATTAACAAGATTAAAATGACATTTCAGCTTGAAATTTCCCCTGTTGATAACAGTTCACTCCTATATTCCAAATGTCTGCTTATGACCATAGAGAAGTTTTTAAAAGAACTCTAGTTGTAAAGTAACTCTACCAAATTCCTAGGCACTTGGCCCCTTCTAAAAGAGTTAGTTGTGTAGGAAAAAAGTCAGGCTAATGCCCACTCAGTTATTTGAATATCAGACTTAAAAGTGGATGTTTTCATTTAGGGTTTGTTTTTCTCCCTAATGTTGGTAAAGGCAGAATAATACAGAATAAACAACAAAAATTAAGTTTGAGAGAACATAACCTATAAAAATTTCACCTTCGTAAAGTATCACAGCAATATATCATCTAGAGGTGGATATGAACCTTCATACATTTCTTAAATGCACAATTAACCTGTCAATAAACACTGAAGTCAAACAAGCTCTAAAACACAGTGGAGCTGCTTCTTCAAGCGTTCCAACCCTGCATATGATTTAAAAATACATTCTTCCAGGGGCGCCTGGGTGGCTCAGTCGTTAAGCGTCTGCCTTCGGCTCAGGTCATGATCCCAGGGTCCTGGGATCGAGCCCCGCATCGGGCTCCCTGCTCGGCGGGAAGCCTGCTTCTCCCTCTCCCACTCCCCCTGCTTGTGTTCCCTCTCTCGCTGTGTCTCTTTCTGTCAAATAAATAAAATCTTTAAAAAAAAAAAATACATTCTTCCAAAATCTTGTCAGACTCACTAAACTGAATATTACTTTTAAAATTTTCAGTTTCATACATATTCTTAGAAGAAAAAACTTTTCATCATCACTGTATCTGCCATAAATCAAGCTCTCTCACCTTGGGCAAGGTGCTAACCCCCTGTCTTCAGTTCCCATGGGTAAAAATGGAACTAATAATAGCATCTACCTCATAAGAATACTGCGAGAATTAACTGAGCTAGTATATAGGGCTTATAAAGAGACCTTGCCACATGGTAAGCATTCAAATTTTAGCTTATTTTAAAAATTCTTTCATACACTATTATGACTTCCATATTTTCCA